TCCTCCCCTAGCCCTGATAACCGCTTGCATTCGATCTGGCATGCTTTGAATGATGTTTCTGACATCAACTTGCGGTATGCTGTCCCAAGCGGCCAGCGCTGCATTTCGGAGCTCATTTAGAGTTTGTGGCGGTTTGGAGCTGGACTTTATCTTTCTTTTGAACATACCCCATACATGCTCAATTGGATTTAAGTCCGGGCTACGAGCTGGCCACTGTAATTTTTGTATTCCAACCTCTTCCAGATATTCCTCTACACAATTTGCGACGTGCGGGCGTGCATTATCGTGCATGAGGAGGAATTGGTCGTGTCCAATGAATCCCGAATAAGGAATTACGTGCTCCTGAAGAACTTCCTCGATGTATCGAGTAGCTGTAAGCCGATTATCGACGATGACCAACTCTGTACGTGCGTCGGAACTTACACCTCCCCATACCATTATTGAGCCTCCATGGAAACTCACAGTTTGGGTGGTGGTAATGGGTAGAAACCTCTCTCCTCTTTTTCTCCACACTCGTTCTCGACCGTCTGGAGCACGTAAAGCTATTCGACACTCATCTGTGAACAACACTCTAGCCCATTGCTCGTGGGTCCAATTGACATGTTCTCTTGCGAACTGAAGTCGGGCTACTCGGTGCTGTCTGAGAAGTTCTGGACCTCGTGCTGGTCTACGAGCTTTTAAATTCACTTCCTCCATTCGTCTTCTCACCGTACGCTCACTAACATTAACGCCTCTTGCGATTTGGAGCCGCTGGCGTATCTCAACAGCGGTCAGGTAGCGGTTTCTCAAAATCTCCATAACAATAAAACGATCGTCCCGGGCCGATGTGCACCTTACGCCCCCACTGCCTGGCCTGCGGGTGTAGCGTCCTGTCTCCTGGTATCGTTTCAGTGAATACTGCATTGAGGACCGTGGTACGTTAAGCACAATAGCAACTTCACGCTGTGTCAGCCCTTGGTCAATTAATGCTACTGCTTGTGCAACTTGTGCTGGTGTTAATGGCATTTTTATTGGCTTTAAAGCACCTTTAGTTATTGAATTAAGACACAAGATCACAATAATTGAATAACCTTACAGTAAACTTTTCACAACACACAAATTTAAAATGTGAACTTAGTCGCTCAAATGACCCGATTCAACTAAAAATTAAAGAATTCGTCATGGTGCACTTAAACATAATGAATTACCCTCTTGAACTTGAGAGCAAACATTTTTTGACATACCTGCATAACAAACATTCATCAGAAACACTTAAAGCTTTTGCTATCGCGAGATAACCGCTTGGCCAAGATTCCGTGCCGCTGAGTGTATTTAAATATTATTATGTATGTTTTTATATTTATATGAATATATACACATTTTCATGTTTATTTAGCACCTGTTTAGATAGCGCAATAAAGATTTTAAATAAATAAATAAATAATAAGTTCTCTTTAAAAAAGCGATAAACGCAAAAAAGAATTTCAAGATCGTAGTTATCTACATATAACCATTATATGGGAAGCTTGAAACATTTGTAACCGTACAGTATCGGTGTCACGATGTCCATTACCCCATATCGGCCCGTGGGTGTCGTAAGAGGTGACAGAGGGAAAATGAAACAGAATATGAGCAGCAATATCTTCCTGATAACGACTAAAAACAATAAAAACCTAGTGTGGGCCCCCATATATCCAAGCTAGCTAGACTAAATTCTGCAGCATATGCTGTAAAAAAGATTAGAGGTCTCACTAGTGTCGAGACAGCTAGATTAGTTTATTTCAGTTATTTCCGTAGCATAATGTCTTATGGGATTTTGCTATGGGGAAATGCGGCTGATTCTATTTTTGTTTTACAGAAGAGGGCCATTAGAGCTGTTTACAACCTAAAACCCAGAAAGTCTCTTAGACATAAATTTAAAGAAATAAATATAATATTAACTTTGGTATCTCAGTATATTTACAAAAATTTTATGTATGTTCACAAAAACAAAGGTAATTTTAATAAGAAAAGTGATATGAATTCTGTAAACACTGGGAACAAACGTATGCTAGTGATACCAGTTTCTCGACTCCACAGAGTCAGTAATTCATTCTTGGGGCAATGTATACGCTATCACAATAAGGTCCCGGAAAGTGTACAGGCTCTCTCTATTACCAAGTTTTGTTAAGCTGAAACTGTACAAAGAGGGTTATTATAATATAAATGAATACATGGCCGATAATAACCCCTGGGAATGAGGTGGTCGCTTCCAAGCAGTTTCTAAAATAAATTTTGTAAATAGTTTGTACAACCATTAATGTAAATTTAACTAAAAAAAGTCCCACTGGGTTTCTTGCCGGTTTTTCCCAGGACAGAGAGTTTTTTTCGAACCAGTGGTAAAGTAAAAAATAACTTTCAATAAGAATTACACATGTGATCTATTTTGAATAAAAAAATATTATATTCTATTCTACCAAGCGTGGCAACATGGAAAAATCCCTCAAATGATGCCATCTATGGGGGGAGGCCTATGTTCAGCAGTGGACTTTTAGGCTGTAATGGTTATATGGATGGAAAAACTTGAAGACAGAGGAAACAACGGACAGTATTCATTTTGATATTTAACAATATTAGATGTAGCTCCTATCCACGCATACGTCACTACTTCCATCATCGCGCTATCGAAGTTTCTATTAAACAGAGCATGTAATACGACTAAAAAAGCGTTTGTATTATTTATTATGTTTTACCAGCAATTGTATTTTACCAGCTGATAAAAACTACAATAATAAGCTTCACGTAAATGATAACACGTTTGTTGAGTGAAATTATTTACTTTGGATTATTTATATGAAATTTCTTGTATTATTTTAAGCGTTGGTGAATTCTGATCATTATTAGGGTGATCTGTCAAAAATAATTCGTCTTATTACAAAACGTGTTTTTTTAATAGTCGGCTATATAACAATGTTTCTCACGAAATGAGTCACTTAGCCGTTGAACCATTATTTTGCATATTTTTTGTGGACGTCTTTATTGAAATAGACTTAGTTTAGCCTTGAGACTAATTAAACTACATTGTGCAACAAGGTGGAATATGTGTTATGTAAGGGTGGGAGTTTGTTGGTTAGCAAATATTATTGTTTGACCAAATATTGACGCAAACAATGAGAAAGGCAGTAGCGAATGCATTAACTTCTTTAAAAATGTTTCGGTAGTACAAATTTAACAGCCGTGTAGTGGCGGTGTAAGAACATCCACTACCCCATATGGTGGGTGTCGTTACAGGAAAAATAGGAAAAATGAAAAAGGAGATGTGCGGCAGAATGAACCTTATAACAAATCAATTATAAAGAATTGCGGTTGCCAACCTTGCTCCCAAGCGTTGCAACTATGGCAAAGTCGCCCTTATGAAGCAATCTATTGGGGAGGCCTATGTTCAGCAGGTAAATTTTATATACTGTAATGGAGAAAGATTAAATTTTGCAAAATACGAAAAAAAACCTATCGTATGCCTTATAAGGAAGAAAACATTTTTGAAGAATTTTTATATAAAGCAACACTGTTTTCATAATCACGTCATACAAATTGTCTCATAAATATACCACCAAAAATCAAAATTAATAGTATAGTTGCCAAAACAATTCTGTATTTTGGATACATGGGAATTTCTGTATTAATACTTCTTTGTTTGTTATGATACCACCGTGTATTTCCTGCGTAAGATAACTCATCATTCCATATTCCTTTGGCTTCCACTAGATAGTATAACCATATCTCTTATGCTAGGTGTAAAATACCCAGCGAAGGGCAACAGCGTCGAGGGTAAGGGACGTCCTTTTTTTATAGGATAGGGTGACAAACGAGCACACAGTCCACCTGATGGTAAGTGGTTGCTGTGGCCCATAGACATCCACATCTATCCTCGTTTGCGAATCAAAATGTAGATGCGTTGTCATCCGTGAGGACTAAGATGGAATCCCTCTTTTCCATTAAAAAGGGTCTCCGGTTCTCTACACTCACCATACGAAATACAGCAGTGTTAAGCTGCTATTTTACGCTGGTATTCTGTAAGAGCGTGGTCCTTCCCCGGTCGAGCCGACCCATTCGTGCTACAACTATACTACTAATATAGCTGCAGCATGGCTCTACCACGAATAATATCAACACGCGAGTCTTATGCTACGATGACCAATATACCTAAAAATAGTGGGGATTAAGTCAAACCCTCCTTATAATGAGATTGACTTATGTCAAGCAGTGGACATTTTAGACTAAAGGAATTGAAGTAAGTAGTAGTTTTAAGTTGGCAGATATTGGTTTATTAATTATTATAATTATAATTCGGCAAGAAGGTCTAGAAAATGGTTAAAACTATCCCAACTGAAGTGACCAAAAATTGGTTTTAATCCGGGCAAGAAATGGTGTGCTGGTTAAAACTGCCAACTGTTAGTTCAGAATTATTAAAAGGATGATTATACGTAAATTAATGGACTGTAGGGTGCGGTTCTAATTTACTATTTCGCGATACTTGAAATGCCCTAAATTTGGACTATAGGAAGAAAGTGAAGGAATGCATGTGCATTCACCTGGACTTCTGCTAATCTACCTCGTGACTCAAGGGCTGCAGCCACGACGATTGGACGTCGAATTTTTTCACACATCTCAACTTCACAGATAATCGCGAACAATAGCGTTATTGTTAATGTCTATACACTTTACGATATTTTTGTATAGTATAATATCTAAATTACACAAAGGCGGGAGCGATGACGTTAGATAGGAGCAATGCGATATGTTTCGTGTCTTCTGAACTTATGCGAACCCCGTTTAACACAAGAGTGCACATGCTAAAGGCATAAAAGGCGGTAGATAGGAAACCCGGAAATGGGCTTTGCAATACTTTTATTAGATCATGATTAACGAATCTCGTGAGCGTTAGGCAGTGGTGCAAAGTGGCGCTAACAAATTTATCGCGTCCGGAATTTTCTAAATAATATGCACAATAGTTTTTCGCTTACAGAAAGTCTTATTTGCAGGGTAAATATCACATCAGACGAACCGTCGTGGACCGTGCGAGGATTGGAGTGGGATGTGCGGTTTAGGCTATCCGCCGTAGCTGTAAACAGTAAAGGACGGTCACTTCCTGCGCACCTCGACGATGTGCTTTTTCGGGACCCTGAAAAAAGAACAGGTAAGCAAAATGAGGAATCAAAAAAATTATAATAATAATAAAATGTCGGATCGATTATTATACACCTATAAGTTGGGGTAATGTATAACATGGTACATAGAGTTACCATAGCTCAAAAAATCGTGTATAAAAGCTATTTGTGGTACCGCACCCGAGGTGTGTGTGTACCTTTACGTGGTATAGCTACGATGTAACTATGCTAGTTGCAGCACGAATGGGTTCACACTCTCACAGAATTCCAGCGCGAAACAGTAGAATAAAGCTGCTGTGTTTCGTATGGTGCGTGTAAATGACCGCATACACTTTTTACTGGAAAGGAGGCAATACATCTTAATGCTCAGGGGTGACAATACATCTGCATTTTGATTCTTAATGAAGGATAGATGTACATGTCTATATATAGCCATAACATCCACTTACGATCAGGTGAACTATGTGCCCGTTTGTCACCCTTATTCTATGAAAAAATGTATCGTGTAGACCATCATTTATTATTAAATATCCTTTCCGCGTCTTGTCTCCACTCAGTTCATAAAACAGCACAATTTTATTTTCAAACAAACCAATAATGTATTTCCTTAAACTATACAAGCCATGGTAGACTTGTGTTAAATTAAGTGCCTACTATCTCGAGATATAAAAATAATTCTTATTACATGTAGTTTTTAACCCTTTATTGGTTCTTCCCGAAACTGTCGGATCGGACTATGGGCTATATTCATCCATCAGTCATAATACATATTTAGCTAGGCTTTATTACGAAAAGACATGTGCGCTCCAGTTTTATTTTGAGCTCATTTTTTTATTTACTAACTGCCATAGCTTCACTACATGAAATCGAGTAACAAAAATGTAGTATAGGCAGTTATCTAATGGTTAAGATGTCTACCATATGTACTTACTTCAACGAAAACTTTAAAGAAAACAAATTACTGTATAAATTATTCTTACAACATGATTTGAAACAGATATTTATATATACAGAACTGTATTCACAATAAAAATATTCTTCAAATATATATCGCGTTAGTATTCCTACAATCAATATTATCCGCTAGAGTGGCCAAGCACACATTTGTATACCAAATTTGTGACGACTCAGTGATTTCTTTGAGCGATTCCGAGACGTCTTTTATGAGAAATTTTATTTTATGAAAACATGCAAACCCCCTCAAAAGTAAAATTATTATTATTATTATTTATACTTTATTGTACACCACAAAAAAAAAAGATAAAAAAGAACAAATTACAAGGAGTAAAACTTAAGAGGTAGGTACAATAAGGCGGTCTTATCGCTAATAAGCGATCTCTTCCAGACAACCTTAAGATTAGGAGAAAGTTGTTCTATTGGACAGTGGGAGGTGGTGTATATTATAGTAAACTTACATACTAATACCTAAATAAACTAAACTGATACATAATGAAAAAAAAAATACACTAATATATTATACATTCAAAATATAATAGACATACATAAGATTAAGTAGGCAAATATACATAAAAATGAAATAAAAAATACAGAGAGGATACAAAAAATACATGTCGCAAATGATGACCAGTAGTTAATGCACTGTTAGGTAGTAATTTTTGACGTCAGTCTTAAACTTTTCTAGTGTTTTCGCACGACGAATTTGCGAAGGAAGATCATTCCATAAGCAGATGGCCTTAACTGTGAAGGAGTTTTAAAAGTATTTAGTTCGATATGAATGTGGTGCGAGTATAAGTTCTCCGGCTGACCGTAGAACTCTGTCCGGTCTGTCATGACCAAGAAACTTAAAGTTTTCCTTTAGATAGCTAGGAGTCATTGGATCGAATAATACACAGTACAGAAGAGAAACAATTTGTAGGTTCCGGCGAAGGCGAATGGGTAACCACTTGAGCTTTAAACGGAATTCGGAGACATGGTCATATTTGCGCAGGCCAAATATGAACCTAATAGCCAGATTTTGAATACGCTCAAGTTTGTTTAGTTGATCTTCAGTTACATCAAGATAGCTTGCGCCCGCATAATCGAGAATAGAGAGGAGTAAAATGTTATAAATGAAAGTAATACTCTTATTTATTAAGTTTTTTATTCATTATTAATTATCTCGCTTCAATTGGTTCTTCACTGCTGGTCGTTTCAGAAAGCTTAAGATCGCTCAGCGAGTCTTTTTGCGTTATGTACTTTGTAATTAAAATATCCGCGATAGAACCTAGTATTCAACGGATCAGTAAACCGAAGTAGCAATGGACAAACCTTTTAGCTCGTAGAACTTACAACCGATCAGGAAGAAAAGATTTCGTTTGGCAGCCTCGTACAGGAGAGCAAAGTGTACGATTCCCCTAGACGGGGCGACCACCTGATACACGAATGCAATGCAAATGCTCAAAACCGTGCTTTGTTGCATTCCTTGGGGGAGGCCTATGTTCCACAGAGAATTTGTGAAGACTCTAAACCCTTCGTTGTAGTTTACCTATACAACTAATTCTTATGAAGGCTCGGTGGGAAAATCCCGCTGTAAATGTTTTAAAACGCTGCTTAAAAATGTGTATGTCTGTTTAAATTTTTGTACTAAGCAATTTAAGGACTCTTTCAAAGAAGTGACAAAAGAGCACACAGTCCACCGGATGGTAAGTGGATGCGATGGCTCAAAGAAGCCTTAAGAATCTATATGTTAATGCATTATCACACCTGTTGACTAACACAGAATGCCTTGCCAGTAAAAATGTTCTCCAGATGGAGACCCTATCACTAGAGTTGCAGATTATTAATAATTATTAAAGTAATTTAGCAATTTAGGGACACAAGCGAACTAAACGTCTGTTTACATTCTAGCTGAATTAATTCAATCATAATAATTTGGGATCAATTAATTCGACTTGTATATATAAATGAACTTTATATTATTTTTATAATATTACTTGAAGTACGAAGATGGTTCTTAGGGAAAGAAAATTTTAAAAAATTGCCTGAAAAAGTCTAAAAACAACACTTTTCTATATTCCCATACAAAAGATTCGTAATAATACTTAAAAAGTCAATTTGAACTTTAATACGAGTACCATAAAGTTTAAGTGTTAATGGAGGGGTTCCGGGAAGGCAAAACAATTGAGTGACGTTAGTATCGTATAAATATTAATGTTAATATTTGTATACACTGGCAGATGGCTGATTTTATAAGGAGTAACTTGGGCTGCTTTTATTTTAGTGTCCCGCGTAAAATAACTCCACGCAGGTGAAGTCGCGGGGAACAGCTAGTATTATATAAAGTCCATCGCTGAAAATGATGGCCTCATTGGGCCTATGAGGTAATCTATTTTGAAGGATATTTGCCATAGTTTCTACGTTTGGGGAGCGGATTAGTAATCACACTTTTATATATCTTTATATATATATATATATATATATATATATATATATATATATATATATATATTTTAAGCTGTTATAAGACAGGTGCTGCTGCCAATTTCCAGTTTCAGTTTCACTCTGTTGCCTCTTACGATACCGAATGGTATGCGGTAGTTTTAGTACTATTACACCGCCATTAAATGGCACGGTGTACGTACGTTCGTAATTTTACCTCTTTTGAATTCGGCAAACCACCTAAAAATTGTTGCACGTGATGGAGCTGAGTCCCGTAATACTGATTGTAACCGTTGTAAACTTAATTGTGTTCGGTTAAACCAAATTTAAAATCATAATATATCATAGCGCGCAAATGTTCATGGTTAAGATGCATCGTTTTAAATGAAAAGCGCGGGAAGCGTTGCAGGATTTTTTTTTTTAATTTTAAGAAATTAGCTTACGGAGTTCTTTTTTTAATTAATTTTAATTTTTAGAAACATATAACATGGGTGCGTTCCATTTTTAAATTTCGAGCATCTCAAAACTTATTGAGTGACCTAAGTATAATCCGTCATTTCATAGCATCCATGTGCGAAATTTCTGTCATGAGTGGTAGAGCCACGCGGCAGCTTTTGCTGACACACGGATGGGCCGGCTCGAACCGGGGTGGTACCACGACCTCACAGAATACCAGCGTGAAGTAGAGGTTTACCTCTGCGTTTCGCTTGGTGAGTGCAGGTGGCCGGAGGCCCTTTTTACTGGAAATGAGGCGTTCCATCTTGGTCCTCACGGGTGACAACGCATCTGCATTTTGATTTGTAATAGAGGATAAATGTAGATGTCTATGGGCCGCAGCAACCACTTACTATCAGGTGGACTGTGTGCTCGTTTGTCACCCTTATCCTATAAAAAAAAAATGATATCCCGGGTTCGAATTCCGGTTCGGGTAAATCAGTTATTGGGTTTTTCTGGCAATAAATTGTCATAAGAAGTCCGAAGTCAGAAAGTTCCTGATGTTATCCCTCCGTTACTTGGAAAGCAAGTAAAGCAATTGTTCTTACGCCTGATGTCTCTCCGCTTGTGTCAGATTGCCGACGCATTGGACTACAAGAGTAAGGGAATATAAAATACAGCTGTGCTTCTGCACGCTCCCGGGCACTTTCATCATAACCTGTGCACATGGCTCGTCTCCGTTGAGAGTGACCCCTGAAATTCGGCCTGAAGGAAATTATTATTATACTACTACAGTCAATGTCAAAATTGCAAAAAAAGTTTTATCTACATCGACTGATCAAAAGGGTCAAATAGGGTAAAAGTTATTAATACAAATTTATACCTGTTACTTTATTTATTTGTACGTATTTTACCAAACACGATATCCTACTAAAAATTAATACTTTCGTTTTCTTGTCGTATTAAAACAAAATCCATTTACCGAAAATATAATCAAACATAAAAGTACACTGGCCGCATGTCGAGTGTCAGATATATTATGAAGGTTACTCGCAACAAATCAAATAAAGGGATCGTTTTATGACTAGGGTTACGTTGCTCCATTTATATGAAATTTCAATAATGTTCCTTGATATTTTACCTTTTTTTCAAATTTGAACAGTAATTATTGAACACATTTTGGCTAATACTTCACATTTTTATAAGTATAATAAGGGGGACAAGCGAGCACACAGCCTATCTGATGGTATGTGGATGCTGTGGCCCTTAGACGACTACATTTATCCATGATTAAGAATCAAAATGCAAAAGCTTTATCAATCTTGAGAACAAAGTAGTAATGCCTCGTTATCATTAAAAAGAGTTTCAGTTTCTCTACATTCATAGCACAAAACATAGCAGTATTAGGCAGCCGATAGAAATGCTAACAGCACGGTCCCGAGACACTTGCGACCATAGGCTCCATCCTACTTCATCCGACTACACTATGTACTACTCTATATGGAGTGCAACCTGTATAATTAATAAAATAAAATAAACCATTATTTAAATATCCAAAAGTTCATTAATGTTGTAAATCATGTGTTAAAGAATCTAACAGCGAAGGGTTTTTTAATCTTAATGTACAGCAGTCTCACGATCGTGTGAGGTATCTTGTGTATACTTATAGTTATACACATGTAATAAGAATTATTTTTATATCTCGAGATAATAGGCACTTCATTTAAGACAAGTCTAACAGGGTTTATATCGTTTAAGAAAATACATTTTTAGTTTGTTTGAAAATAAAATTCATCACCCCATTTTGTCCTATAGGTGTCGTAATAGATGTCTATAGGAAATGCCAGAAAAGTCTTATTATATATATATACATCTCGATAGATGGCGGTATAACCACTTTTTTACGCCAGGCGACAAGGAGTAGCGAAAATGTGCGAGACTTTTGGCACTGCGATTCTCAATCCGCTTACTTTGTGTCACGATTAAGGCAAATCCTTCCTATAGTGCGAGAGATCTACGAGTATGAGCGGCAATCGGCTTTTACGGTCTGATGAAGATACAAACAATTTATTCTTACAAAGTAAAAAAGATAAATAGAGAAATATTGTACAAAAATACTGTTTATTTCATATTGATATTATATGCAGCAGGCATAATACTGGACAATTCAAAGTTAAGCCGAATTAGTGTGCACTATTATATTAATTAGTGACTTGTCCTGGCCTTGCCTGAATAGGATTTATTCAGTATTCATTAGATCTTATTTACTGGTCTTATCTACTGGTCGTAAATGCGGTTGCTGATCATGAGACCAGTTATTTGGTTCTTCTGTCCAGAAATTCTCAGTAGGAGCCCGGAGTCAGGAATTTGGTGGTGTTTCAATCCAGTGCCTCGGAAAGCACGTAAATCAGTTCTTTCGTCTGATTTCTCTGGTCTTGTTACCATCCGATCAGACTATGAGAGAGAGACAATAGAGTTTGCACTTGTGTTTGCGGATACACTCGCCATCTGCAGAAGACAGGATTATAAAGGCATAATCCTGTCCTGCGCAAATGGCTAATCTGCGATGAGACTGGCCACCGTAACCGAAACTCTTTCTGGAGAACAATATGTTCAGCAGTGGAAGATGTTGATACGAGGTGTTGTTGCAGCGTCGGAGAGCGCGCTGGGCGCGGGGGCAGCGGGAGCGGCGAGCGCGGGGGCGGCGGGGGCGGGCGCGGCGCTGGCGCTGCTGGCGTGCGCGTGCCGCGCCGCCCGCCGCCGCCGCGCTCCCCATGCGAAGCCGCCCACCAAGCCACCCGCCCCGCGCGCCGATAAACCGGAACACGACGATGCTGAACCCGATCTCATACCCAACAACTACTGTGAGTACAGAGTTTGATATTTAAATTATACTAAAGTAAAAAGCCTTACGTGTATTGGCGGCGTAAGAGTATCCACTACCATAAGAGGTGAGAGATGTAAATTTAAAGAGGAGATAGGCAGCAGAATTTTCGTAATAAAACTCAATGGATAGACTATAATAAAAAGATAAATGATAGGCTTTAGAAGTAACGATTATCATAATTTATAGCAGCTCAAATTATATAGTTAGTAATCTATGTGGAGAATCTATTGTAAGGAGTTGAAAACATTTTTGTAACAAATAATAGTACTTTTTGGCTTGTGATACTATTTACTTAGTCCTAGTCCTAGTATAATTAATTCAAATTAAACTTGACTTTGGATTCAACAGAGGAGAGCTGGGTGCTACCGTCTGCTTCGGATCCTATAATTAACAAAATTAAATCTCAACCCAAGCATACAACTGCAAAACCTCAAGATACTGTATGCCCATACTGCGTAAAACAAAAAGAACAAAAAAATTACTCTGGAAATAGCCGTGGTTAACTATGACATTTGGACGTCAAACACACCTCAGTCCCCCGTGGCCATGGGTGCTGTAAAGTGCTCAAAACGTTGGGAATATAAAATCCGTAAAACTAGTTTAATTTACATGTGCATCTATTGTTCGCGTTTATAAAAAAAGCTTATACAAAAACAATAACCAATTTGCTCATTAGCGATTGAGCTAACAAAACATACCCAAATGCGTGTTTTTCAAATGTATATAATTAAAATGAAATTACTAATATGCCGTGTAGTGGCGGTCAAGAATATCCACTACCCCATATCCTCCCGTGGGTGTCGTAAAAGGCGACAAAGGGAAACAGGCAGAAGATGGGCAGCAGCATCTTCCTGATAATAGCCAAAATTATAATAAAAAAACTGCGGTTGCCAACCCGCTCGCCAAGCGTGGCAACTATGGCAAATACCCCCCAATGACTAAAGCAACAAACAGACGGCCCCCAGTCCCCGGCGGCCCCGCTATTCCTGGCTACGGTGGCGACCATGGTAACGGCGGGGCAGGGGGTGCTAAGAATCTCCGGTGGAGGTTCGGTTGCCACCTTAGACGACTCGACCTGGCAACGTACAACGCACGCACCCTGAGGACTGACGAGAAGATCGTGGAGCTGGAAGAGGAGATAGACAAGTTGCGCTGGCATATTATAGCATTATCCGAAGTCCGAAGAGAGGGGGAGGACACGGTAATCCTCGAATCCGGCAACTTGCTCTATCACCGGGAGGGCGACCATCTGTCCCAAGGAGGTGTCGGATTTATCGTCCACAAGTCTCTCGTTAACAACGTTGTAAAGATCGGGAGTGTGTCGACGAGGGTTGCGTACCTTATACTCAGAATCACCAAACGGTATTCGCTGAAGGTCATACAGGTTTACGCACCAACCTCGGCACACCCCGATGGGGAGGTGGAGGAAATGTATGAGGATATCTCTAAAGCCATGCATTCCTCCAAAACCCAATATACGGTGTTAATGGGAGACTTCAATGCAAAACTAGGCACAAGAGAGAACGGTGAGCTGAAAGTAGGGAAATTTGGAATAGGGCAACAGAACCCAAGGGGCCAGCAGCTGGCCGACTTCATGGAGAAAGAGGGACTCTTTATGATGAACTCTTTCTTCCAGAAGCGGCCCCACAGGAAGTGGACCTGGTCGAGCCCCGACGGTTCGACAAAAAATGAGATTGACTTCATTATGACGACCAGACGACAACTGTTCAGTGATGTCTCCGTGATCGCGAGGGTGAAAACTGGTAGCGATCACCGAATGGTTAGAGGCACACTGAACCTAAACGTTAAGTTGGAGAGGTCTCGTCTAATGAAGTCAACGCTCCGTCCCCCTCATGCTCTAATCCAAAGTCCCGAAACCTTTCAGCTCGAGTTACAAAGCCGTTTTCAGTGCCTAGAAGACTGCAATGAAGTGGACGATATGAATGACAAGCTCGTGGAAACTGTCCATGCGGTCGGAGCTAAGTTCTGCAAGACCCGCCGCAGAAGAACACAAAAACTCTCCGATCACACTCTTAATCTCATGGCTGTTAGACGGGAGATGAAGCTACATTCTTCAACAGACTTGACAGCATACAGGCATCTGAACAGACAGATCTCAAAATGCATGCGGCGGGACTTACGCAACTTCAATACAGCTCGTATTGAAGAAGCGATCGAGCGGAACCAAGGCTCCAAAGTCTTTGCCAGAGATCTGTCTGCCAGAAAGAGCCAACTGTCAAAGCTGAAGACAGAATGTGGCAGCATCGTTTCCGGGACACCTGAGATTTTGAGTGAGATTGAGAGGTTCTATGGGCAGCTGTACACGTTATCGTTGGAGCCACACGCAAGTGTGAGTAACGATCCAAGAGCGAGTCTCATCCGACACTATTCCGAAGATATCCCGGACGTCAGTCTGAGCGAGATTAGAATGGCTCTCCAGCACCTTAAAAACGGTAAGGCCTCAGGCGAGGATGGAATTACAGCGGAGCTTCTGAAAGCGGGTGGAAAACCGGTACTTGAAGTCCTTCAGAAGCTCTTTAATTCCGTCCTCCATAGTGGCATTACACCGGAGGCGTGGAGCAGAAGTGCGGTGGTCTTGTTCTTCAAGAAAGGTGACAACGCTCTCTTGAAGAACTACAGACCGATTTCCCTTCTGAGCCGCGTCTACGTGCTGTTTTCGAGAGTCATTACGAATCGTCTCGCGCGCAGACTTGACGACTTCCAGCCTCCCGAACAAGCCGGTTTCCGAAAGGGCTTTAGCACCATAGACCACATACATACCCTTCGGCAAGTTGTACAGAAGTCCGAAGAGTACAATTTGCCACTATGTCTGGCGTATGTGGACTATGAGAAAGCCTTTGATTCCGTCGAAATTTGGGCGGTGCTGCAGTCCCTTCAGCGGTGCCAAGTTGACTGTCGGTATATCGAAGTGTTGAAGTGCTTGTACAGTAGGGCTACGATGGCTATCCGAGTACAGAACCAGAGTACGAAACCTATCCAATTGCAGAGAGGTGTAAGACAGGGTGACGTCATATCCCCGAAACTCTTCACCGCTGCATTGGAAGACGTTTTCAAGCTTCTGGACTGGAAAGGGTACGGTATCAACATCAATGGCGAGTACATCACTCACCTTCGATTTGCCGACGATATAGTCCTTATGGCAGAATCGCTGGAGGGCCTAAGCACTATGCTCAATGACCTCAATAGTGTTTCCCAACGGATAGGTCTTAAGATGAACATGGACAAAACAAAGATCATGTTTAATGTCCATGTCACACCTATGCCGGTAGTTGTTGGGAACACTAAGCTCGAAGTTGATGACGAGTATGTTTACCTGGGACAAATAGTCCGACTAGGTAAGTCCAACTTCGACCGAGAGGTCAATCGACGGATTCAACTCGGCTAGGCAGCGTTCGGGAAGCTACGACACATCTTCTCGTCAGACATACCTCAAAACCTTAAAACGAAATTGTACAACCAGTGCGTGTTGCCAGTGATGACTTACGGAACTGAGACGTGGTCCTTCACTGCTGGCCGTATGAGGAAGCTCAAGGTCGCTCAGGGAGCTATGGAGAGGGCTATGCTCGGAGTTTCTCTGCGTGATAAACTTAGGAATGAGGATATCCGCAGTAGAACCAGAATAACCGACATAGCCCAACGAATTAGTAAGCTGAAGTGGCAGTGGGCCGGCCATATAGCTCGAAGAACCGACAACCGATGGAGAAGAAAGGTTCTCGAGTGGCAGCCTCGTACCGGTAGGCGAAGTGTAGGGCGTCCCCCCACGAGATGGAGTGACGACCTGGTAAGACATGCAGGAAGTCGATGGATGCAGGTGGCTCAGGAACGTGCTTTGTGGCATTCTTTGGGGGAGGCCTATGTTCAGCAGTGGACTTGTGAAGGGCTGTAATGATGATGATGATACTAATAACATCATCGATGACGTGTCAATCGAAAACAGATTAACTGTAAATTGAAAATATCACGTAGAAATCGAACGATGTGTTAAGTGCGGCAATTCCGTTGGTGCTTTACATGTTGATCAGTCAGCATTTATTATAATTTTAGGTTATATTTTTGTATAATATACCATATTTTATTATATACATTATTAAGAACTATAATTTAAAAAAAACTAAAACTTAATTATCGTACAGTCGTACTCCCCGCGGTATCGTGCCAAGAACGCTGACTGCGTTTCTCCGCTGAAGGGCTATACTTAGCCTTTGAGCGAGAAAAAAACCAGCCCTCTTATCACCAGCAGCAAAAAAAAATAAGCAGCAACGGCGTGTCGCAGATAGAGTTCCTTTAGAAACTTCAGCGTACGTGGTCCCCACGGGCCGATAGTCTCTACAGCAAATGGCACAAATATGTAGTCATCTCACAGAGACTCATATTTGCGCCATAAGAAAACATTTATAGAGACAAGAGCCCTTCTGATGACATCATTTAAAGAACCGTGTCGTGAAAATCTACCAGCACTTTTCTTACATGACAGTCCGTGGAGCCCAAACTTGTCGACGCTGCCATCACAAGGACACTAACGGGGTTGAAAAATCGCCACTTCTAGTCGGACTTCTACGGCGATGCACAAGCTTTCCCGATCGAGTAATGTGCGTAAAGCGTGTAACCAGTAACTAAATACCTTAGTCGAAACAGCTAGAAGGTTTACCTGATCTTGATCACCATGGAAATAAGGAAACAAATCTTTCTGCACTCTCTGTACCAACGGAATATCCCACTGTTTTTCAAGCAAGGACAGCAGGTAATGCAACGGTAGAAAGATTTCTCACACCAATACCACCAAATTTTATAGGTTGTTTGAGTCCAGGCTATTGTATTTAAAGTTAAATTTAGAAATATTCCTATAGCTATTTTAAGATTACTATCAGTATCTTTTAAAATATCTGAACTCGCGTTGAGTAAGTATGTAAATCTAGGTACAAGGAGACAATATTTTAAAATAGTAAGAGCAATGTG